GAGAGAATGAAACAAGCTAAAGATGCGTTCACAGCCCTCGGAGTCGCCACAGACCTCCTTGATGCCGTTGCCAGTTTGGATGAGTCACATTTTCCGACCAATGAAGTTCATACATTAAAGAAAAAAATCAGAAAGGAGACTCAGACTTGCGTCCAGATACTTGAGGATGTAGTTGCAAATGTTGAAGAATGGAAGCACGACACCGCTACCAAACAAGATATCGCCATATTGTCACTGAAGATTGACGAGCTGAAGGCAGCTCAGGAAATACGTGAGGCTAATTTAACAGGTGCATAAAGTATGCCTACAAAGTTCTGACTAAAGCAACATTTTGGAAAGATTATAAGGGGGTCCACATTCCGGAAAGAGCGAAATTTTTGCTTGTGAATTCCGGAATCCTAGGCTTTGGAATCCGGAGTACAGTTCAAAATATCCGGAATCCGAATAATACCGATTGGAATCCAGAATCAAAGTGCCACTGACAGAGAATCCGGAATTTAGTACATGGAATCCGGCAAGACTGTCTTGGATTATCGTAACCCGGGGAGAGATTTAGTTCTAAAACTAGTTTTTGAAAGTGTTAACCTCTGCTCCCCCACAAATGCCAGTAAATTGGGTCCCTTACGTAGCCAAATACAAAAGTGCATTGTGGTCACTAGAGTAAATTTTAATAAGCATATTCATATCGGGTAAAAACGAAACATCATTGTTCCGTGTGAATTTGTTTTTCCTTTAAGCTAATTCTCTTGTTTGCAGTTTTTCAATCACAGTGTCATAGAAATGGCTGTCAATTGTGCCAAGTTTGAAAATAAAACCTGGTGTACATCATTTTCAAGTTTCTCAAAATAATGGTTTTTTCTGGCTCTTTTGTAATCCAGAAAATTTCGTTTTGTTTTTGTCATTCAGGCAAGAAAACATCAACCGAACAATCACAGTCTTGCTCAGTAATCACAAACACTGTAGGAGAGAACCATCCGAGCATAGCTGACAGCTACCACACATTGGGAGTCACTGAACGTGTCCGATGCAATTTTCCAACTGCTCTTAAGTATGCACAGAAAGCTCTAAGCATAAGACTCCAGCTGTATGGGGAAGACCATCCAAGCATAGCTGAGAGCTACCATGCACTTGGTGACACGCAGCGCGCTATGGGCGACTATGCCGCAGCTCTCGAGTCTGCAAAGCGTGCCCTAAGCATCCGGCGTCGAGTGTTTGGAGAAGAACACTTAAGCACAGCTGACATTTACCACTCCCTTGGGGATACACAGCGCGCTTTGGGGGACTTTCCTTCCGCGGTCGAGTCTGGAAAGCGTGCGCTTGCCATTAGACTCAAGCTGCTTGGAGAAGAGCACTTAAGCATAGCCGACATCTATCACTCCATTGGAGACACCCAGCGCGCTTTGGGCGACTACCCTTCCGCGCTCGCGTCCGGTAAACGCGCACTTGCCATTAGGCTCAAGCTGCTCGGAGAAGAGCACTTAAGCATAGCCGACATCTATCACTCCATTGGGGACACACAGCGCGCTTTAGGCGACTATACTTCAGCACTCGAGTCTACAAAGCAAGCACTTGATATCAGACTAAAGCTTCTTGGAGAAGAGCATCCAAGCACGGCAGACATTTTTCATTCTCTTGGAGACACACAACGCGCTCTAGGTGACTTATCTTCAGCCCATCAATCTCAGGAACGCGCACTTAAGATAAGACAGAAGTTGCTTGGAAAAGAACATGTAAACATCGTTGACTGTTGATATATGACATGAGCTTGCCGCAAGGGATGCAGAGTTTCGGAAATTATAGTATATTTAATTTAGATAACCTAACTGGGCAATAGATAAGATTTCCCATACGAAAAAATTGAAAGAAATTGAAATATAAAAGGAAGAAAAAGGACTGGTTCTAGCCCGTAGTCAAGAGCCATCTACACGTTTATATGATCCTAGAAGGGTGGCAGAAATATGGTTTCGTAAATATCCATATTCGGCATTATTATTCATTCAAAGTACCTCTCATTTTCTGATAATACCTCGGCTTATTCTTCAAAAGCAGCTGTAGGCTGGATTTCTGCCACTCTCCCGTGTCTGGTCTTCGGTTCCTCCCGGAAAGGGAAGAGAGGAATGCGGTGGGCTCGCTTTCCTGCATGATCAGTGACTGGTAGCGCTAACCAAATTCGGAAACGGAATATACTATTAATTATGGACGTCAGTCACTGAATGATGTATAACCATTATCGTTACGTAACTAAGACAGCGGCGAGATGGCCTGGCTGTTCTCATCATATTAAGCAAAAAACAATAAGTGATTAATTTTACTATAGGGAAAGAAATTTTTGAAAGGATAGATAGCACTATAGGTTCTTTGCATGACTTGATCTCGTGACCAGCTTTCGGTAAACACGAAAACAGTTCACTTTTGAAAAATTTTGTTAGCGCAAGCTGAAAGAGCATATTAAAATTAGGTAACCTGAGAATTTTCTGCCGTAGCGATTGCAACGGCGGCCGAAAGTTGGAAGCATTTGTATGAGAAAAAAACTTTTGCCATCGAGTCACGCTTGCATGCTTTTCCCTACAAATCCTTGTAATTTCGAAATTTTCAAAACTGTCATGAAATATTTCCGCAAAGGTTGTTTTTCTTATACAAATGCTTCTAACTTTTGGCGGCCGTTGCAATCGCTAAGGCAGAAAATTCTCAGGTTACCTAATTTTGATATGCTCTTTCAGCTTGCGCTAACAAAATTTTTCAAAAGTGAAATGTTTTCGTGTTTACCGAAAGTTGGTCACGTGATCAAGTCATGTGAAGAGCCTATCATTCTATCAAATAAATCATTATCTAGTGAATAAGAATTCGGGAAATCAATTGAGCTATTTAGAGGATAGTGATTTATTCAGAGGATAGCGTTTACTTAATCCACCTTTTAAACAACTAGCACCAGGACCATTAACTCTGACCATACTCTGAGAACTAATTTGCAACTGAAGATGTATCATGTCATGTTATAAAAACATGTACTGCCTTAAAACCAGAGTTGTCGTTCATTTTCATAGGATCCTTAAAACTCCTTTGATAACAGGATAAGTTGCTGGTTCTGTTATTTTTTACTTCAGCGCGTCATAATTTCTTACTCAAACAATGTTCTTGAATTTACCCTGTAAACACCCTTGGGGAAGTAATTGGAAAAACAAAGCTGGTGGGATGGGAGGGGGGGGGGGGCAATGAGACAAGTGTTTTGTGTGAACTAAAGTGATCTAAGTTTTATGCGAACAGTGCAGTGGTGGATTCAGACCTTTGACCTTTAAGCTAGTGCCCCCCCCCCGCCCCCCGCCCCCTCCTTATCCACACCCCAAGATAAGGGGTGGCTCTGCCTCGAAAACAATTCTCCTTGGCCCTTTGCGCCTCAATTTCGCTTAAAAATAATATTGGAACCCGGGCCCCTCCCCTAGATCCGCCACTTCCTTCTTAGTCCTTTCCGGATATATATTCATGATTTATGTTCTGTTAGATATTAAGACATTGACGAGAGAGTGACTGATGTTGGCGGAGTCCTCCTTTGTTTGAGCTCTGTTTGCTGGGATACAAAATAATTACAATTAATTCTATTTTGGGGTGAATAAGGCTACAGGAACACAGTGCATACTGTTGGTTCAATTAGCATAGTCATTGCTCTTTTGACGTTCTTGTTACTGTCGCCCATGTAAGATAAGGTAAGGTAACGCCTTTATTTAAAGAGGGTAAACACGTGAAAGTTATGATAAAACTGATAAAGTTGTGGCCCTTTATAAAACATAAAAAAAATTAATATTAAAATAAGTTGACACTGTCATTGTAAAAAGTTAAAAATTAACATTAATAGGCGCAATTTACAAAACAAGCAAAAATGGTATTTACAAACTAACTAGTCTTAGAAATTTTAACTATTTAAAAACTATTAACTATCTCAAACAAGTTATTTTACAGACTAAATATTTAAAAGATATTATCGTTGCTTAAGTTCCTTATTGAAGCTTGTATCGGTGCCGGGAAAAATTGAACGCATGTCCCTAATTCAGCACTGTAAATTCAAAAATCCGCTTCTGTCCCAAAATCCATGCAAATTTGGTCATGCAGAACCAAATCTGGTTCAATCTCTCGTGAAGTCATTTATAATTACGCACAATTTGTACTCGCTCGTAACATGCTCGCCCGACAGATTCTGAAGGGACCGAATTAGACTGTAATGGTGTACTGTATTCTCCTTTTCACCTAAACAAACGTACCAAATTTGAGGTGTAACAGAATCTTTTGAAGTTACAGTGCGTGGAACATTAGATCTCTTATATACATATCTAACACTACTGAAAATGCGTGGGTCTGTTTCAACGCCAAATGTCTCGTGGAAGAAAATTCTGATCCAGTCTCGTGGAGAAGCTATCCGAGGACAGCTTCAAGCAAGCCTTTCAGATCATTCACTCTTAGGGTACAAATAAGCCCAAGGAAATTCGACTATTTTGGCAAAGACGGTCAATCGCTGTTTAAGTTGAGATCTCTGGAGCCTAAGCGATCTGACGCACGTCTCTGTATGCTGTACAAACAGAGTAATGGATTAGCCACTTACGAATGCGACAAGACTCAGAGAGAACATAAGAGTAGAATGGACACCAGGCTCTCGTCTCTCAGTCATTGATTTGAACACCCACGATGTACATGTGATTAGTATAAGAACTCTTTTTACCTTTATGGACAATTGCACAGTGGAACAATCTCCCACCACAAATTATAGCCTCTATTTCGTCATGTTCATTTAGGCAATTCGTGTGTAATCGTACATATTGATTAGTAATTTTACGTTATTGTTGTATTCATTGTTGCAATTTTTATCATTTAAAGCAGTCTGCAATACTCTGTTAATAGTGAAGACTTAATTGGTAAATAACTTAACTAACAAGATCGGATAAAATTCTTCTTACCAAAATCGAAATTATCCTATATTACATACCCTATTTATTCAAGTCCAGTGAATTGAACTAAGACCACTTATGTCCTCCTTTCAAGCCATTCAATGCGCGCTGTGTTTTCTCCACTTCCCGGACACTGGCAGCAGTGCTTTTATGATCTATTCCAAAGAGTTTAATACGTATGCCCAGGGCAGGCTGATGATTTTGAACAGATGCTTTCAAATCACCTAGTTCATGTTGTGTTATCCCCAGGGAGAAGTAAGAGACAGCAGTACTTTGATGTTCTTCTCCAAAAAGTTTAATACGTATGTCCAGCACACGCTGTTTTGACTGCAGAGCTGTTTTGAAATCACCTAGTTCATGCTGTGTTATCCCCAGTAAGGAGTAACAGTCAGCAGTACTTTGGTGTTCTTCCAATATTCTTCTCCAAACAGTGGAGAGCTGCTTTGAAATCACCCATCTTATGCTGTGTTATCCCCAGTTCGTAGTAATAGCTAGCCACACTTTGATGTTCTTCTCCAAGCAGTTTAATACATATGTCCAGCGCACGCTGGTAAGATTAAAGAGCTGCTTTAAAATCACCTAGTTCACTCTGTGTTATTCCCAGGGAGTAGTAAGAGAGAGCAGTACTTTCGTGCTCTTCGCCAAACAGTTTAATACGTATGTCCAGCGCACGCTGTTTTGACTGCAGAGCTGCTTTGAAATCACCCATCTTATGCTGTGTTATCCCCAGTTCGTAGTAATAGCTAGCCACACTTTGGTGCTCTTCTCCAAGCAGTTTAATACGTATGTCCAGCGCACGCTGGTAAGATTGAAGAGCTGCTTTGAAATCACCTAGTTCACGTTGTGTCATCCCCAGGGAGTAGTAAGAGAGAGCAGTACTTTGGTGTTCTTCTCCAAACAGTTTAATACGTATGTCCAGCTCACGCTGTTTTGACTGCAGAGCTGCTTTGAAATCACCCATCTTATGCTGTGTTATCCCCAGTTCGTAGTAATAGCTAGCCACACTTTGATGTTCTTCTCCAAGCAGTTTAATACGTATGTCCAGCGCACGCTGGTAAGATTGAAGAGCTGCTTTAAAATCACCTAGTTCACTCTGTGTTATTCCCAGGGAGTAGTAAGAGAGAGCAGTACTTTCGTGCTCTTCGCCAAACAGTTTAATACGTATGTCCAGCGCACGCTGTTTTGACTGCAGAGCTGCTTTGAAATCCCCCATCTTATGCTGTGTTATCCCCAGTTCGTAGTAATAGCTAGCCACACTTTGGTGCTCTTCTCCAAGCAGTTTAATACGTATGTCCAGCGCACGCTGGTAAGATTGAAGAGCTGCTTTGAAATCACCTAGTTCACGTTGTGTCATCCCCAGGGAGTAGTAAGAGAGAGCAGTACTTTGGTGTTCTTCTCCAAACAGTTTAATACGTATGTCCAGCTCACGCTGTTTTGACTCCAGAGCTGCTTTGAAATCACCCATCTTATGCTGTGTTATCCCCAGTTCGTTGTAACAGTCAGCCGTACTTTGGTGTTCTTCTCCAAACAGTTTAATACGTATGTGGAGGGCACGCTGGTGAGCCTGAAGAGCTGATTGGTCAATTCCAATTTTGTTAATTTTTTCATCTTCACAAGATTGGTTCTCTGCAAAACGATTGCCACCCTTTAACTTTGATTGGGGTAGTGATATTGGGATATCTTAAAAGAGAAAAAGGCAACTGAATATCAGATCTTTGGTTTGGGTAATGAGAGCATATTTTTTAGTTGTGTCATTCGATACGAGTGTACAGGAAAAAGGAGCTATTTGATCATCATGGGTGGAATTGGAGGAAGGTAAACTGGCCCCTGGAGTGTCGGGGCTTTCTGGTACTGAGTTTGGGATTCATACCCTTCATTTCTGTTTTGGGATTTTTCATCTTTTATGGAACTGCCATTATAGCAACAATGTTATTGATGCATAAAAAAAAGTAATTAACCTTACTGAGGCTGACTATGTATAGCGCAGATATAGCCGGTAACTCGGTGTGCAAAGTAGTAATAAGCAGCGGACAAAAGCTACCGCTGGGAATCTCAAACAAATGACTCACGAGCTATTTCTCCGGCCTCGATTAAGACCCTCGCTGCACGGCTTTGTATCTAGTGAAATCTGTAAATTACTCTCCTGACTTGGCAAGAGCCGATAAGAGGTGCCGGTATTTCTTTCAAGTCCAATACAATCATATTTACAGTTTTGGAGGTGGTGAAAATATTTTGCTTAGGATTTCAGTTACATTTTCACCTGGGGAGATTAGCTTGATAAGCTTTGTTAAAGGAGTTGCGCATTTTTTCCACTAGCCTTTTAACTCACCTTCTTTCCGCTCCGACATAGTGATGTCTTCTTTGTTATCACTGACGTCTTGCACAGCTCTGAGTTCATCTATTTTTCGTGCCAACATGGCGATGTCTTCTTTGCTAGCAATATCGCTTTCCACTTTCTTCTTCAACTCTGCAACGTCTGAATTCACACCCTCAAGAAATTTTATGTACGATTTATTCTCTTCATTGATAGCCTGCTCAAGTTTACGGACTTTACTTGTGGGAAAGTCTGACTCTAATAAACTACCAACAGCATCAATTGGAGCCGTCGAGACACCCAGCGCTTGGAATGCGTCTTTGGCGTGTTTCACCTGCTGGTCAAAGGTTACTTTTTTTATCTCAGAACTTGTTGAGTGGCAAACGGAATTCCTCAAAAGGCGTAACTGATCAATCGCTAATGCACAGGTTTCCGCATTGTTTCCAGTTGTGCTCACTACGGACGGATGAAAATGGCCATATGATAGTCCACGAGGCTTAACATACACGTCATTTAGCGTCCCGTGATGTGAGGTGAAGACTCGCGAGTAGATGGTGGCCTGGAACAACGCAGTGCAATCCCATTCGTGATATGACTGATGGACAGGAACTTTGGTTCTGCCACCTTCTGTAGCGGAAAACATATTTCTCACGGCAGTGGAATCATCCCAGAGCTGGAAGCCAGCGCGATGTCCATAGGTGTTGTCCCACATGGCTTTAAATGTCTGTCTCAGGGCGTTTGGAAATTCATTCAACACAAGAGACGCGAATTTGAAAAAATTTAAATCTTCTTCCCGGTAAGGCTGCAGAGCCATCCCAGCGTAGTTTTTGCTGTTAAAATAAAGAATAACGTTAGTTAACAAAAATTTTTATCTTAATCTGGAAACCATTTCCTTGAATCCCGGATCAATGTTAGTAATTCAGATCGAAGTTTAAGAGCCTGATTTGGTGAAGAAGCTGCATTCATTTTCTCTTTTTTTCTGAAATGCCAGGAGGGTTTAAGTGTTGTCTATAAAAGCTGATAGCCCTGCCGTTTGAAAGTGTTAACTAGTTTAAATGAATGATCGTAACTGCAATTTAATCAATTGCAAATTAACCCGAAAAACATTGCAGGACTTCAAGGGGATCCGAACCCATGGCCTCTGCGTTGGCGCTGCATTGCTTTATCGATTGAGCTACGAAGACCCGTACATTGGGTGCAGGCCAATTTGTCGAGTTCATCTTAACCCGTGTAAGGAATGAAACACGAAGATGATGATATGAACTGCGGAAATACAAATTTAAATACAGATATGATTGTCACAGTGGTAATTGCAAATTTACCAGAAAAAAAAAATTGGGACTTCAACGGGATTCGAACCCATGGCCTCTTCGTTTAAGCGCTGCAGTACGCTACAGTGCTCTACCATTTGAGCTATGAAGACCGAAAGATAGAGAGGAAAAATATTATAAATTTAGGAGGAAGTAAAGGGTTCGTGCGGCCAAAACCGGGGTTTCACAATCACACAGGAAAAACAAATTACCAATTGAAACTTCCACTAAGTATCTCCTGTCAAGTGAGACAAAAGAACAGTAGAAAGTAGCTTTCTTTCTCTCCTGCTTTCGAACCGTTTTGTCCGTTCCTTTTCTGTCTAAAATGCCTTTTCCTTTCATTATTATACATTATTTAAATACTAATAAATGCATTTTCTCGCAAAAAAGTCATTTCTTTTTTGCCCGTTTCTCCATTTATTAGTATATTACGTAATTTAATAAATTTGTTTCTTTAACTTTCACTGTTAAAGTTTTTTGCTAAAAATTTTTTTACTAGTACTAGTAGTTTTTTTAATACTTTGCAATGCAAATATCTGATGACCCAAGAACCTACAATGAATTCTATTATTGCGGGCATCACAATGGAGATGCGATCATGATACTTTTTCTTGAAAGTTAAGAAATAAGGTAAAGGACTGCGGAAGGCAGCATATAATAACTCGTCAAGAAAGAAAAAAACAAGTGTTTGCTGAAAATCAGCGAATTGTCGGAGCAGGCAGAAAGTCCATCTTCAATGGTTAAAATTAGCTTCCACGGTTGGTTGAGTAAGCGAACAACCTCAGCTTAACAAACCTAAACCCATTTTACGGCGGTCATATGGAATAAAGGGCTTTCCAGTTCCACATTATAAGATGTCCTTTGATTTTTTTGCGTGTTTTTGGAAAGGGAACTCGATTGAACTCACCCGATAGTAGACAATTAACCGAAAGGAATTAGTAGAGCGAGATATAATCACAGTGCCTACATCCCAAGCCTACATCTCATAAAATAGCATTCGGCAAACTGGCCATCATACAAAAATATATGATAAAATTACCTCAATTCCTGAAACTCCTGCTACTTTCAAGGACACAGTGATTAGAACAGGTAATAACAGAACTGGAAATCTCTCAACTTTCTAGGTTATACTTCGGGAACGACATCTGAAAACGAAAGTCGACTACCGTAAGCTTAGCTTCCGCTTAGAACGCCCCTCCCCCGAACTTATAAATCCCCCAGTATAGTAATAGTCCCATCTACCTGTAAGCGAGAAAAAAACATCCCCGTGGCGGATTCAGGGAAGGAGCCCGGGCCCCCGCTTTATTCTTAGACCAAAATGAGACCCGAAGGGCCGAAAAAAAATTTTTTGAGACCGGGCCCCCTCTTATCTCAGGGTCTGGATGACAGGCGCCCCCGATCCTTATCTGAAGATTTCATCTGAAGATCTGATCCGGCTATAGCCTCCCCGACCATACCCTAGCTTGTACTGAAACAAATTCTATTCTATATTATTTACGACGTTTTGAAGCTTAAAAATCGAGTGAATCAAAAAGTCTTTTGATGAGCACTGCTATGTGTCTTATTTGGAAACGCTCTTTTTACTGCGGATATGTCAGCTCCCCATTTTTCCCCCATTTAAAGCCCTCTTAAAGCCCCTCCCTTACGAAGTTGTATAGGCCTAGGGTTTTATAAGCGGAAGTTTACGGTATACAACGCTATCATATTATAGGGCATCAGCATCCAATCAGATCAGAGGAATTAGAAAGGGACAAAAGACTGTAATTCAATGAAAAACAGGTAATGAAAACTGAAAAACCTACCGTGGGTGTCTGAGGTTTTTTGTCGCCTGCGGCGTAGCCCCAGTTAGTTTATTACTCTCGCTTTGCGCGCGCCCTCGTAATTCTCCCTTTGCCCTAAAAAACAAACAAATACGGCGCCTGTCACGCAGCTTACTTGTGGCGGGATGGTTCGGTGTCGGCCTCAGCAGCAAAGCACGGGTCACGATTTTAAAAACAGACTTGACCAAAACCAGAAACTTCGCATAAAAAGTCTCTGGTTCACAAAAAACCAAATCACTCAGATAAATGTATACCACAATGGAACCAAGCACCTGGGCATCCATCCTCAAAGGGCCCCTAGTAATCTGTTTGGGTAACGGTAATTTCACGGTAAATGTATTGGATTTTTCATTTGTTTTGGCCTGCATAGCAAGCGCATAGGAAATATGGGTTTGCGAGATAAACGATTTTGTATACGCACGCTGGAGAGGAACACGCGCGCCAGGAGAAAGGTACAATGGTGAATGCGATTTGTCTTCGGGAGGGTCTCTTATTCGAGTTTGTGTGGGAGGGAGTGGGGTAGGGGTGGGCGCTTATTCGAGGCTGGGCGCTTATTAACTTTTCTGCCTTTAGGATGGGAGCTTATTCGAGGTGGGCGCTAATTCGAATAAATACGGTATTCAACTTGAGCGTTGAGCACTTTTGGCGCTTTTTTATTGATCAGCAGGAACGGATTTGGTAGTACTAATTTTTCAACTGCTCTTAGACTGCGAAATTTTTTTTCTTTCTTGTTTTCTTTCTTTTATTTTTTCTTTGTCATTTTCTATTGTATTTTTTAGACTTATTTTTTAATTCTCTTCTCAGTCTCATTCACCTCCCCCCGCCCCTTCCCCGCCGCGCCCCCTCTGCTCCAGACAAGAGGGAACGACCATTTTGTTTTGCTCCAGACCATCCCTTGGACTATTCCGCGTTCTTGGCTTACGCAAAAAGTAAGGGCTGCTTTGTGGTCTGAAAGACTTTGCACTGGTTGACGTTTTAGTGTCATGGAAACTCTAGCTGTAATACTGAACTGCAGATGACAGGTTAAAAGACTGAAAGTTCCTTTCAACAGCGTTTGGAAAGAGAACATCGTCTTTTCCGCAAAAAAAAAACAACAACAAACAAACTCCAAAACAATAAAAATAGGGAAACAAAATAGAGTATAATACTAAACCTAAGAAGAACCTTGTAACGAACAAATGGGAACACCTAAAATGGAAAGACAGACTTCAGGACTTTCCTTATCCTCCGTAACCCTAAGCCATGAAACTTAGATGCCCAAGCACCAGGTTATGGTTTTAGTATTGATATAAAATTATTGACATTAAAAGTAATAGAGCGCTGTAAAGTTATATGTTATGAATAGTTTTATAAATATGAAAGGATGTTCTTCAAATAATATCGACAGAAATTTGATTCAATAACCAAAAACGTTGATTCACATCGATAGCTCCAATTTCGCTACGTAATTCTAGCTTGTTAAGCAATGAAGAAATGCATACATACATGTAAAATCGAGAACATGCCTTTACAACCCTCTGCAATTTATTCCTGTCCTTGACAGATAAGCCAATCTGCGTTTATTTTCCAGTAAAACCTTCTGTGTAGTTATATCCTGATAGGAAACCGCGTGCGTGTGAAAAGCTCGGGAATGGCCCGGGGCTTGGCAAATGCCCGGCCCCCAGGCGGTGCAAAATTTGCAAATGTCCCACCCCCGGGACTGACAAGGCGGACAAATGCCCCGCACCCGCAGTAGCCTTGGGGGACTGGGCGCAGGTGGAATTGACTGATACATTATATACAATTTTTTGAGGGAAATCGCCTGTCTGAAAGTGAACATGAAAGTGTGTGACGCTATCCCAGGGACCCTATATGTTGTATCTGAAGAAAATGCTGCAATCACTAAGAATAATAGGGTTACTGAAAGATTTAATTTCGAATTGGCTTTTAATCTGCCTTTAAGTAAATTGTTTTTAAAAAGCATATCTATTGGTAACACTGGCGTGACGGGCCGTGTAACGCTATTTTTAACAACGGCAATGTCGCGTTTTTTTTTGTTGTTGTTTTTTTTGCAAAATTAGGGTTGAACTCAACGTCTTGCAGGCTACTTAAAATCGTTTGCCCAGAGATTTGTTTCAATTTTCTGATAGATTGGGGCCTAATTAAGCAGTAGAAAGTCAATTTGCGGAATTTTAAGTTATAGCGCATTGTATCCCTATAATTTTGAACGGTAGAAATTGTCAATAGGGCCTATTTTTAACAATACCTTTTTGGCCACACAATTATTACATCTTTCACAAATTTATCGACTTATAAGAAAGAATTGAAAGGGTCATAAAAACTATCCGTGTTTTTCAAAGGCTGCCAAATCGTTGTGGTTTGACGTACGAGTCAATGGAATTTGTGTAAAATTTCGCTTTGCCGGAAGTAGATTTTGAGCTCTGAACGGGTAAAATGCGTTTCTCGAATTTTGACAAACGAACACGTTATTTGGGAAAACTAACTACAGCATGTTTCGTTACTCATTAAGGGTTATCGATGAGCCAAATATGAGCGAAATCAAGTTTTGGACTTGTGCCGACCGTGGGTCGATATTTACGGAAAGCCACTCTTAAAGATTCCCCCTTTTAAAGATTCCCGCTTTTAAATATTCCCCATTTTAAAGATTCACAATTCCCCGATTCCCGTTCCTTGTTTTAAAGATA